ATGTAGTTAGAGTGGACATATAAAGATCCTCAAATGTAGCAGTTTAATAGAGTGAGTCATGGTGAAGGTCAGCCACACAAATAGGTGAACAAATATTATAAATGCAGAACATTCAGGATATATAGTCAGAAGGAAATTTTTGAAATGACAAAAAAATCCACCTTATTTTCTAAAACATTGATAATATTAGTTTTTTTCTATTTTCTATTTTATTGAGGTTATGATAGTTTACAACCTTGTGAAATTTCAGTTCTACATTATTATTTGTCAGTCATGTTGTAGGCGCACCACTTCACCCTTTGTGCCCACCCTCAACCCCCACTTTCCCCTGGTAACCACTAATCTGTTCTCTTTTTCCACGTGTTTAACTTCCACATATGAGTGGAGTCATACAGAGATTGTCTTTCTCTATCTGGCTGATTTCACTTAACATAATACCCCCAAGGTCCATCCATGTTGTTGTGAAGGGGACGATTTTATCCTCTTTTATGGCTGAGTAGTATTCCATTGTATATATACACCAAATCTTCTTTATCCAATCATCAGTTGATGGGCACTTAGGCTGCTTCCACATCTTGCCTATTGTGAATAATGCTGCAGTGAACATAGGGGTGCAAGGGTCTCTTTGAATTTCTGATTTCAAGTTCTTTCGATAGATACCCAGTAGTAGGATGGCTGGGTCATATGGTAGATCTATTCTTAATTTTCTAAGGAAACTCCATACTGTTTTCCATAGTGGCTGCACCAGTTTGCATTCCCACCAGCAGTGTATGAGGTCTCCTTTTTCTCCACAACCTCTCCAACATTTGTTACTTTTTGTTTTGGTTATTTTTGCCATTCTATTGGGTGTAAGGTGATATCTTAGTGTAGTTTTGATTTGCATTTCCCTGATGATTAGTGATGTTGAGCATCTTTTCATGTGCCTATTGGCCATCCATATATCTTCTTTGGAGAAATGTCTGTTCATGTACCCAGCCCATTTTTGATTGGGTTGTCTGATTTTTTGTTGTTGAGTTGTGTGAGTTCTTTATATACTATGGGGATTAACTCTTTGTTGTATATATGACTTAGAAATATTTTTTTACCAATTGGTGGGTTGTGTTCTTGTTTCAATACTGTATTTCCTTGCCTTGTACAAGCTCTTTAGTCTGATGAAGTCCCATTTGTTTATTCTTTCTATTGTTTCCCTTGTCTGAGAAGAGATGTATGGTGTCCAAAAAGATCCTTTTGATACTGATGTCAAAGAGTGTACTGCCTATATTTTCTTCTAGAAGTCTTATGGTTTCAGGTCTTACCTTTAAGTCGTTGATCCCTTTTGAGTGTATTTTTGTGAATGGTGTAAAGGAATGGTCTATTTTCATTCTTTTACATGTGGCTCTCCAGTTTTCTCAACACAATTTGTTGAAGAGACTTTCTTTTCTCCACTGTATGTTCTCAGCTCCTTTGTTGAAGATTAGCTGTCCATAGATGTGTGGTTTTATTTCTGGGCTGTCAATTCAGTTCCACTGGTCTATGTGCCTGTTTTTGTACCATTACCATGCTGGGTTTTTTGCTTTTTTGTTTTTGAGGAAGATTAGCCCTGAGCTAACATCTGCTGCCAATCCTCCTCTTTTTTGCTGAGGAAGACTGGCCCTGAGCTAACATCCATGCCCATCTTCCTCCACTTTATATGTGGGAAGCCTACCACAGCATGGCTTGCCAAGCTGTGCCATGTACGCACCCAGGATCCAAACCATGGAACTCTGGGCCACCAAAGCAGAACGTGTGAACTTAACCACTGCACCACCAGGCTAGCCTCCATTACCATACTATTTTGATTACTATAGCTTTGTAGTATGCTTTGAAGACAGGGATTGTGATGCCTCCCAGTTTTGTTCTTTTGTCTAAGGGTTGCTTTAGCAATTCAGGGTCTTTTGTTGCCCCATATGAATTTTAGGATTCTTTGTTCTATTTCTGTGAAGAATGTCAGGGATTCTGATTGGGATGGCGCTGAATCTGTAGATTGCTTTAGGTAGTATGGACATTTTAACTATGTTTATTCTTCCAATCCCTGTGCATGGAATGTCTTTCCATCTCTTTATGTCATCATCAATTTCTTTCAGGAAAGTCTTGTAGTTTTCTTGTATAGGTCTTTCACTTCCTTGGTTAAATTTATTCCAAGATATTTTATTCTTTCTGTCGTGATTGTGAATGTTATTGTGTTCTTGAGTTCTCTTTCTGTTAGTTCATTATTAGGATATAGAAAAGCTACTTATTTATGTAAGTTGATTTTGTACCCTGAAACTTTGCTGTAGTTGCTGATTACTTCTAATAGTTTTCCAATGGATTTTTAAAAGGGTTTTCTATATATAAGATCATGTCACCTGCAAACAGCGAAAGTTTCACTTCTTCACTCCCTATTTGGATTCCTTTTATTCCTTTCTCTTGCTTAATTGCTCTGGCCAAAACCACCAGTACTATGTTGAATAAGAGTGGTGAGAGTGGGCACCCTAATCTTGTTCCTGTTCTCAGAGGGATGGTTTTCAGGTGTTCCCCATTGAGTATGATGTTGGATGTGGGTTTGTCATATATGGCCTTTATTATGTTGAGGTACTTTCCTTCTATACTCATTTTATTGAGAATTTTTATCATAAATGGATGTTGGATCTTGTCGAATGATTTCTCTGCATCTATTGGGATGATCATGTGGTTTTTATTTCTCATTTTGTTTTTGTGGTGTATCACGTTGATTGACTTGCAGATGTTGAACCATCCCTGTGTCCCTGGTATAAATCCCACTTGATTATAGTGTATGATCTTTTTAATGTATTGCTGTATTCGGTTTGCCAATATTTTGTTGAGGAGTTTTGCATCTATGTTCATCAATGATATTGGCCTGTAGTTTTCCTTCTTTGTGTTGTCCTTGTCTGGTTTTGGGGTCAGGGTGATGTTAGCTTCGTAGAATGTGTTAGGAAGTGCTCCATCTTCCTCAATTTTCTGGAATAGTTTGAGAAGGATAAGTACTCAGTCTTCTTTGAATGTTTGGTAGAATTCTCCAGAGAAACCGTCTGGTTCTGGACTTTTATTTTGGGGGAGCTTTTTAATTACTGTTTCAATCTCTTTACTTGTGATTGGTCTACTCTGATTCTTTATTTCTTCCTGATTCAGTTTTGGGGGCTTCTAAGAGTCTAAGAATTTATCCATTTCTTGTAGGTTGTCCAATTTGTTGGTATATAGTTTTTCATAGTATTCTCTTATAATCTTTCATATTTCTGTGGTATCCGTTGTGATTTCTCCTCTTTCATTTCTAATTTTATTTATTTGAGACTTCTCTCTTTTTTTCTTAGTGAGCCTGGCTAAGGGTTTGTTAATTTTGTTTATTTTCTCAAAGAACCAGCTGTTTGTTTCATTGATCCTTTCTATTGTCTTTTGTTTCAATTTCATTTATTTCTGCTCTAGTTTTTTTTTTTTTTTTTAAGATTTTATTTTTTCCCTTTTTCTCCCCAAAGCCCCCCGGTACATAGTTGTATACTCTTCGTTGTGGGTCCTTCTAGTTGTGGCATGTGGGATGCTGCCTCAGCGTGGTTTGATGAGCAGTGCCATGTCCGCGCCCAGGATTCGAATCAACGAAACACTGGGCCACCTGCAGCAGAGCGCGTGAACTTAACCACTCAGCCACGAGGCCAGCCCCTCTGCTCTAGTTTTTATTATTTCTCTCCTTCTACTGACTTTGGACTTTGTTTGTTCTTCTTTTTCTAATTCTGTTAGGTGTGGTTTGAGATTGATTATCTGAGATTTTTCTTGTTTATTGAGGTGAGCCCATACTGCAATGAATTTCCCGCTTAGGACCACTTTTGTTGCATCCCAAATGAGTTGGTATGGCATGTTTTCATTTTCACTTGTCTCCAGATAATATTTGACTTCTCCTTTAATTTCTTCATTGATCCACTGGTCGTTCAGTAGCATGTTGTTTAATCTCTACATCTTTGGCCTTTTCACACTTTATTCTTGTAGTTGATTTCTAGTTTCATAGCATTATGATCATAAAAGATGCTTGATATATTTAAATCCTCTTGAATTTCTTCAGGCTTGCTTTGTTTCCCAACATATGGTCTATCCTTGAGAAAGTTCCATGCACGCTTGAGAAGAGCGTGTAGCCTGCTGTTTTTGGATGGAGTGTTCTATATATATTAAGTCCATCTGGTCTAGTTTTTCATTTAATTCTACAATTTCCTTGTTGACTTTCTGTCTGGATGATCTATCCATTGGTGTTAGTGGAGTGTTGAAGTCCCCTACTATTATTGTCTTGTTGTTGATATCTCCTTTTAGTTTTGTTAGTAGTTTCTTTATGTACTTTGATGCTCCTGTATTTGGTACATATATATTTATAAGTGTTATGTCTTCTTGGTGGAGTGTCCCTTTTATCATTATAAACTGCCCCTCTTTGTCTCTCTTCACCTATTTTTCCTTGAAGTCTACTTTGTCTTATATAAGAATGGTGACACCTGCTTTCTTATGTTCACTATTAGCTTGGAGTATCATCTTCCATCCTCATCTCTGAGTCTGTATTTGTCTATGGGGCTGAGGTCTGTTTCCTGGAGGCAGCATATGGTTGGGTGTTGTTCTTTAATCCATCCTGCCACTCTGTGTCTTTTGATTAGAGAGTTCAATCCATTTACATTTAGAGTGATTATTGAAATGTGGGGGCCTAATGCTGCCATTTTATTGCTCATTTTCTGGTTCCCCTGCATTTCCTTTGTTTCTCGTCCCACGGATTTTGGACTACCAATTCAGGCAAGTAGTTTTCTAGGTTGGTTCTTTTATTTTTAATTTGTGTCTCTGTTATAATTATTTGCTTAGTGGTTACCATTGATAACTTAGGTTTAACGTATGCCCAAAATAAGCATAATATTATCATCCAAATGTTATTCATGGTTTCCCATTTTTCTCTGGCTCTCTCTAACTTCTGAAGCTTTTATTCTAATATTAGTTTTACAAGGTCTAGCATCAAAACATAGGAGTTCTAATTAAAAACTCAACCTTTATTGTAATACAAACTATTAAGGATCATTATCAATAGAATTGATAAGAAAAATAAGCCTAAGAATTAGCTTTTTGTAACATAATATTTTACGCCTATGACTCCTTAAGAAATCTCCCACTTCTATTTAGATATGAAAAAAATCATACTTGTGCACTGGAGCCACAGGCAGGGCTATGGTACAAGAATTCCCACAGCTAACCAGCACTTTTTACACTGTGCTATGTAGTCTCTTACTTCTTTTCATTTTAGTAGATATTTATTGATTGCCAACTCTGTGCAACTCTTTGTTCTAAACACTGAAGATAGAGCATCTAATAAGCTGGTCAAAGTACTTGCTCTCAAGGAGCTCACATTCTAGTTGGGGAAAATATACAGGCAAAAACATTAAAAATTAGTAAAACTTTAATCAGAGTTAAGTGCCATGAAGACAATCTCACAGAAAGATAGCATCAAAAATGATAGAGCACTACAACATAAAGAATGGTAAGAAAGGACTATTTCTTATGATCTTTGTCTTTCTTTATATTGGTGCACACCTGAGTCTTCAATGTTTCAGAGGCAGCTTTCATTTTATAAAAATCTATTATTTCTTCTTCCAATTGTCTTCTCTCCTCCTCAAGTTGCATTGTCTTCTCTTGTTGCACTCTTTTAAGATGCTCAAACTTGTCCTGTAGCTGTGAAACAAATTTAAAGTTGTGACTCAAAGCACACTATGGTGGCACATCCTTAGGATCATGCTTGTTTTTTTTTTCTGATTATCAAACATATGCTAATTATCAGAGTAGAGCTTGATCTAAACAATAGTCTCATAAATTGTTTTTAAATTAAAAATTCAGATATGAAATTTTTTTCTTGATTTTAATTTAAAATATGTCATTGAACCAAATATAATAAAACCTACAGCTATGAACAACACTCAATTTTTAAAACACTTTACTTTTCCTAATGAAGCGTATTTTCTCAGTCTATGTTTTCCCACAAATCTCTTCAAATAAAATTTGATAAATCCATGCTCACTGAAATACATACATTAAAATATAGCATGGATTATGAAACATTTGTTGAGAATTTAATTGATAAAGACTTTTTGAAAGGGAGTCTGATAATTTCCTTGTTAACTGAAGTTAGCATAGTGATAGAAAGAAACAAAAAGCTTTAAGGACCTCATTCAGTTACATTTTATTTACTTGTGGTGTTTTATTTAACCTGTGGGACTTAAGCCAAGTTAGCAATATGAAGGAAATGATATCACCTTGGATTCCATTAGAGATAGGCCTAGGTCTTTGACACAACTTTATTCAACAACATAAAGTTTGCTTATATGCATCAGAGGAGTTGTGTTTTTTAAAGCTATGGCTTGTATGGCATAAAACTATGAAGGACTGGCTTATTTGCAGTTTAACTTTTTGAAGGGGTTTCCACTGCCAAGATATTAACCATCTGGCTTGTATGTCTGTGAAGAACACAAGCACAGTCTTAACACCAGTGGTTCTCAACCCTGGGTGTCCATCAGAATTATTCAGTGAGCTTGTAAATCTCCCAAAGCTCAGGTTGCTCACAGATCACTCACATCAGACTAACACTGAAACCCAGGCATCAGTGCTTTTAAAAATTCCCCAAGTGATTTCAGTGTGCAGCAAAAGTTGAGATCCATGATTCTAAATAAAGATTATTTTTCCCTCTGCTGGAGTCAGATATCTCTTGGAATTACATTTTCTGCCCTGAGAAGCAAATGAGCGTCTAGACACAAGGACAAGAAGAATGATTGGAAAGGCTGGGGATGTGAGAGTGCGGTATCTATATCTATAAATAATGACAAAAATCAATGAGAAAATGTTTTACTTAAAGATGGGAGGGTGAGGGTAGAAATCAAAAAGAGCTAAACTTCATATTAATATATAAACATTTCAAAAGTTAACCACTTCATGGTGTAAAACAAAATTTTGGATAGCAGGGGAAACCCATAATTGGGAAGGGGAGGAATATTTTAATAGTTTTTTCAGTTAATTGAGGATATTCTTTGATACTACATCAAAACCTGACAAATGCTAGTTTCTTAAAGGTCAGCAGCAATGAGGAATTTGATACCATATCAGTGAACTGTTTATCTTCTATAATGTTACAATCTATTGATCTATCTTGCATTTTGAATTAATCTTTTACCCATATGTGATTTGTCACATAATGCATTGATTATTTGGAAAATATTGGCTCGCTGATTTATCTGAATTATGTATATCTTCCAAATGGAAAATTTTCCAAAATTCTAATATTTGCTTGAGACTCAAATATTATTACTGGCAAAGAACACTGTCAGTTGTTTTCCTTACAGGGATAGGCTCACTTTATTAGTTTTTGAGACAATATCTGCCAAATACTCAAGTCTGAATAACCATTGTTTATCAGTCAATTGTTCTTTCAAATAAAAATGGTGTTCCATGAAAAAAAAATTTAAGTGAGAAACTTGACTTTTTTCCCACGTCAGGTACAAGGCAAGGATGTCCCCTCTCACACTACTTTTCAATATTGTACTAGAAGTCCTTGCTAATTCAATAAGGCAAGAGAAGGAAATAAAGGCATACAGATTGGGGAGGAGGACATAAAACTGTCTTTCTTCACAGATAGCATGATAATCTATATAGAAAATCCAAAGAATTCACAAAAAACTCCTGGAATTAACTAGAGATTATAGTAAGTTTGCAGAATACAAGATTAATATACAAAAGCTGATTACTTTCCTACATACCAGCAATAAACAAGTGGAATTTGAAATGAAAAACACAATGCCAACTGAATTAGCACCCAAAAAAAAGAAATACGTAGTCATAAATTTAACAAAATATATCCAAGGTACATATGAGGAAAACTACAAAACCCTATTGAAAAAAATCAGAGAACTAAACAAATGGAGAGCTATTCCATGATGATGGCTAGGCAGACTCAATATTGTCAAGATGTCAATTCTTCCTAACTTTATTTAGAGATTCAATACCATCTCAATCAAAATCCCAGCAAGTTATTTTATGGATAACAAAAAAATGTATTCTAAAGTTTATGTGGCACAATAAAAGATTCAGAAGAGCCAACACAATATTGAAGGAGAAAAACAAAGTTAGAGGATTGATGCTATCCAACTTCAAGATTGACTATAGTAATCTGACTAAAGCTACAGTAATCAAGACAGTGTGATATTGGTGAAAGAATAGAAAAATAGATGAGTGCAACAAAATAGAGAACCTATAAATAGATGCACATATAGTTCATTTATGCTTGGCAAAGAGCAAAGGCAATACAATGGAGGAAAGATGGTCTTTTCAATAAGTGGTACTGGAACAACTGGACATCCACATGCAAAAAAATGAATCCAGACATAGATCTTACACTCTTCACAAAAATTATCTAAAATGGATCATAGACTGAAATGGAAAATACAAAGCTATAAAACTCCTAGAAGATAACAGGAGAAAATCTAGATGACCTTGGGTATGGTCATGATCTTTATGGTGATGTCTTTTAGATACAACACTGAAGAGACAATTCATGAGAGAAATAATTGATAAGCTGAGCTTTATTAAAATTTAAAACTTCTGCAAAATAAAACGTCAAGAAAATTAGAAGACAAGTCACAGACTTGGAGAAAATATTTACAAAAGACAGATCTGACATAAGAATGTTTTCCAAAGTATACAAAGAACTCTTAAAATTTGGCAAAAAAAATCTGAGTAAAAAATGGACCAAATACCTTAACAGACACCTCACCAAAGAAGATATGCAGACAGCAAATAAGTATACAAAACTCTGCTCCATATCATATACCATCAGGGAAATGAAAATTAAAACAACAATGAGATACCACTACACATCTAGTAGAATGACCAAAATCCAGAACACTGACAATACCAAATGCTGATGAGGATGTAGAGCAACAGGAACTCTACATTCCTACCTACAATACAGTGCAGACACTTTGAAAGACATTTGTTCTCCTACAAAACTAAAAATGCTCTTACCATATGATCCAGCAATTGTCCTCTTTGGTAGTTACCCAGAGGAGTTAGAACTTGTCTACACAAAAACCTGCACGTGGATGCTTACAGAACATTTACTCATTGTCAAAAGTCGAAGCAAACAAGGTGTCCTTCAGTAGATGAATGGATAAATAAACTGTAGTACATTTAAAGAACGGAATATTATTCAGTGTTAAAAAGAAATGAACTATCAAGCCATGAAAAGACATGGAGGAATCTTAAATACATATTATTAAGTGAAAGAAGTCAATCTGAAAAGGCTACATACTGCATGACTTCAACTATGACATTCCGGAAAAGGTAAAACTTTGGAGATGATAAAAAGATCCATGGTTGCAAAGGGTTGGGAAGAAGGGATAAACAGGCAGAGTACAGAGAATTTTTAGGGCAGTGAAATGCTCAATATGATATACTAATGGATATATGTCACTGTAGATTTGTTCAAACCCATAGAACGTACAACACCAAGAGTGAACTCTAAGGTAAACTATGGACTTTGAATGATTATGATGTGTCAATGTAGGTTCATTCTTGGTTTAAAAAGTGTGCCATTCTGGTGAGTCATGTAGATAATGGCATAGGCTATGCATGTGTAGGGGCAGGAAGTATATGGTAAATCTCTGTACCTTCCTCTCAATTTTGTTAAGAACATAAAATTGCTCTAAATGTATAATTTTAATTTATTAAATTTTATAGTTTAAATATATACAGTTATGTCAATTAGCTTTCAATAATGCTGTTTTTAAAAAAGAATAAATTCAAACTTTCTCATAAGAGGATTGAGCAATATGTTATCAATGTGATTTATTATATTTACAGATTAAACGAGAAAATCATCATCTCAGTAGATCCAAAATATCAGTTTATACAGAAAATAGGACAAAAAATTTTCTTATTATGGAAAAAATATCCACCAGACCACATCATACGTTACGGTGAAAAATTAGCAATATTTCTAATAAGTCAGCAAAACAAAACAGCCTCGTGTCAATTCTCCTTGAAGTCACAACCTATGCAATAGAATGAGAAAAATAAGTGAGAAATATAAATATTGGTTACAAAAACATAGAAGTGTGACTAAGTTGTAAATAATATGATGATGTAAATAAGGGACAAGATAATTGAAAACTATTAGGACCAATAAAAGTAAAATTTTTCCTGCTGTCTTGCAATAATCAATTTCAATATAAAAAAGAAAAACCTGTTCCAATTGTAATAGTAAGGATAACTTTAAAGATGCTAAGAATAAGCTGAACAAAATATAACAAGACCTATACGCATTCTAAATAGTTTTTCTGAGGAACATGAAAGTATATCCTGAATAAATAGAGATGAATATAATATCCCTGTGGTAAGTCACAATATTGGTAAAGATGTTATTCTCTGGAAATTAGCCTATCAAGTTAGCGCAATCTCAATCAAAATCCAACAGGACCTTTTAAGGAACTTGATAATAGTTCTAAAATCTGAAAAACCCAATATGCAACAATAGCCAAGAAAATTAAGCAAAACTGGAAGATGAGAGGAGAGATTTGCCCTAAAATATACCAAAACAAACTTGTAAAGCTATGATAATTAAAATTCAGTTACAATAGAAGAGAATGAAAAATATATATCCATGAAACAGAAAAGATGGTCCAGAAATAAACCACTTGTAGAAATTTAATGCTATAATATAAGTAGCATTTGAAATCCACTAGAAAGGATGAACTACTCAAATGTTATTTGTATAATTGGCTACCAATCTGTAAGAAAAAATACAAAACTAAATCCCAAATGTAAAAAACAAATCTATAAAAATATTAGAAGAAAACAGGAATATACATTTATACCCTTCAGGTAAGTAAAACTTTCTTAGGCAACAGAAAAAACATTCAAAGGTTATAAATGACAAGACTAGTACATTTGACCATATCAAGGCATAAAATTTCTATTGAACAAAGGTCATTATAAATAAGGCTGAAAGACAGCAGACAGATTAAGAGAAGTATTACAAATATTTATAAAACGAGCATTTTTTACAATATATAAAGAATTATAAATCAATGAGAGAAAGACAAACAAAAACACTATAAAAATACAGGCAATTCTCTGAAAAAATACAAGCAACAGATTAAAATATGACCAAATTCTCTAATAGTGTAGGATATGTACAAACCTAACCTTGAAAATTTTAAAGATACAAGTTTGAATTTTGACTAATCCATCTGCTAGATGTGCTTAGAAAGTTTACTTTAAGCTCTGTGAGCCTCCACTTTCCTTGTCAGTTCATTAGTTGTTGTTTACTTATCATGTTTTAAATAATTAAGTTGTTACTTTTCTGAGCAAGCCAGGTAGGCCTGTTTCCCTCTCACTTTGTTCTCTTTCAATGCCTTTGATATCGACCCTGATATCAGTTTCCCCACATAAAACCCAGCATATATGGGGTTAAAACCAAAGCACTCATTCCCTGCTTACTCTCTGGCTTCCTGGCTCCAGAATCCACTATTCTCCATGGAGACAGACACCATCAAGGACAAGCACCTGGATCATCTCCTCCCCGCAAAGAGATACAGGCTGGTGGGAAAGCTGCTGACCAGCAAGGCCATGTGCTCCCCCTCCCCTACCTAAAACACCAAATAAAAACCCCTTCCTTTTAGCTTTTCGGGGAGTTTGGGATTTCAGCATTAGCTGCCCTCTCTCCTTGCTCAGCGCTGTGCAAAAATAAAATTCCTACTTTCTTCCACCACACCTGGTGTCAGAGATTGGCTTGCTCCACAACGGGTGAGCGAACTCACTTCAGGTTTGGTATCACCTTTAGAATTCTGGTTGTTTTATTTCTACAAGAAATTCATTTGCTTCTTTCCAGAGGCATTACTAAACCCTGGTAAGAAACTCTGCTACTCCTAATTTTGCACAAGCAATTTTAGGCTGTGGTTGGCTCTTTTTGGTTCTTCCTGAAAGGACATGTAATTGACGAATGGGAGAAAAACTGATCTCCAGAGAGCAAAATTAAAGCAGAAGTACAGAAATAAGTATCATAATGAAGGGGAGTGAGGTAGGGGAGAAATAGAAAATTTAAATGGTTGACGTGGTCTCCGGTCACTTCCTCCTTTGGGCTGAAGTCCCCAAAAGATCCAGCTATGCTTTCTGATCTTGATGCCATAAGATACCCTTGAATACTTCCAAAATACTTCCCTTTATACCTAAGCTAAAGAAATTTCTATTACTTATAGTTCAATTGTCCCTGACTGAGGCATCCGGTATGCAGCAGCTAGTCACTATATTTTTTCTATGGAAAAGGAAGTTTATGTTCCAGTTTACCTGCTAAAACTAAACGTTCTTAAGTTGAAGCCACATGCACTTGAGAGAAAGATATGTATGATTTCAAATATATTCCTTTGTCAAAAATGTATTGTAGCAAATAATCAAGACCATATTGGCAGCCTCTTTTTCCGTTTTCTTGGAAACATATTGGAATGAAATAAAAAAGGACCCACATCATTCACCAACTAAAGTTTCTCTGATTAATCAAGGCTTGCACTAGTCAATATTCACCTGCTTATTTACAAAAGTGAAGAGAATTTTCTAACGCAGTAGCAGTGTTAGAAATTCCATGACTCTTTACAGAAGTCAATAGCTTAACTTTGTTATAAATTAAACTTTATGCATGAAAACTGAAATTATACATAAAATAAAGGTAAATAGCTTTTAAAAATTATTTTAGGGGTTATCTAAAAGGAAAATTCTCTAAATTTGCTATAAAAATAAAATTACAGAATTTTTTAAGGTTGCATTCAAAACCTATATGGTAAATAGCTACTTTTTGAATCATATCATAAACTAAACCCTTGAGATTAAAACCCTCAGATCAGTAGGATGTCTAAAAATCAATATGAATTATATCAAACTAGTAGTGCTTGCCTCTTTTTCAGCTTCTTTAAATGTTGCTTCTTTCTCCTTTACTAGCTGCATAAACTTCAGTTTCAACGCCTCTTCTTCCCTCTGACATTGATCAGAGAACTCCTGTCTTTTGGCTTCATAGATCTCTTGAAAACTAAAAAGTAATTTTGATTACTGTCATAATAAAGTGTTAATATAAATAAACATGGAAAAATATATTGTATGTCATGTCCTGTATGAAGACATTTTCCAATATTCTCTTCTGTGTCATGAGATGTAAAAACGTGAGATACAATATCAAACATGAGTATATAGAAATTATATATAATGAGTACTAGAATTTTGAAACAGTTATATCAGTGGTTTCTTGTCCCCATCACTTTTCATTATATCACGTCTTCACTACTTTTGACTATAAAATTTGGGGAAACCTCTAAATTCTGAGGTTCTCAAAACAAAATAAAGCCAGGTGTCTTTCAAAACACGATTTATTTAAGATAGCCCGTTCAATTTTGGTTGTCTTCAAAGTACCATAACTGATATAACTGGAATATACTACACTGTCATACTTCTGAAGTGCAAATCCTATTCCTTTTCAATATAGCTAAATACACCCACCCTCAAACTCTTTTCATTTGAATTCCATGTCATCATACTGCTGCTTTTTCTCTTTACTGCATCCAACATTCATATATTTTGCCATCCTTTTCAATGTCCTTTGTCATATTTTGTCAATCTTTGCTAATATCTGCCAACCTCCTTCCTGAGCTTCTGTTTCATGTAAAATACAAAAATAGAAACAAAATAATGTTTTCCTTTTGGATACACATTGCAGCATATACACATACTGCAGCATGTAAATGAGCCCTTGCATTATGTTGCTCCTACCAATTCTCTCCATGTAAGTGTGAAGATGATTAGAAAACATAAAATTCAGGATGGCCCAGGATGTGAAAAGTACACTTATTCTCATTCCCAAATTATTGTATCTCATTGTTTTAGGGGATTTCTAAATCACCCATTACCTTCTTCTAGCAAGATCACCACTCACCTAACTGGCTGGTTATTTGGGCCAACATCACTGAAGCCCATCTCCTGCAGTTTGCAGCACCTATAATTTTCATAGTGCCAAGTGTGGGTTTGTTGTTTCAGGTCTTCCATATTTGTGCTAAGAAGAATATCCCGGAGCTTAACAAAGTCACAGTGATTCTCATTTTCCACTAGGCAAAAAAATAATAAAGCCACAACACTCATTATCAATCCCTGGCACTCAAGTATTCTTGAATGCATGCATGCATAAAAACACACTTAAAATAACAGCTAAGGGATCATTCTGGTTAATAGCTGTAATTCTTTAAATCATGGAACTGTGGTTATATGGTGCATACCAATTACAGGCAGAGTTTATTTTTAGACCAGGAAACTTGCTTTCAATTTATTAGGCAAACAATAAATAGGAAACAGTGAAATAACACTTTATGTTATATTAATATATGTCATAGGTTTTCATTAATAATTATTGTAAAATAATTAATCTTTATTATTTAATTTTATATTTAATGCTATATTAAATTAATTTAATATATTACTATTTCATTAATAAATAATTGTAAATTAGCATTTTACAAACTACTCTCAATGTATTTCACAAAGTGCTAATAGATAATGCAATAATTTTACTAAAGTAAATAATTTCATTTAATTTCATTAAACAACTTACAAAGTAAATAATTTTATGCACTCATAAAGGCCTTAACAATTGTGCATGCTTTGGCTATCAAATTCTACGTATACACCATATTTATGAGACTTAAATAGTCAATATACAAAATCAATCAATAAATTCACATGGCTCTCTCTGATGTTTGTATATCCAGAAAACTGAGCACAACATATTGTGTATTGTGTACGATATTGTAACCAAATCTTAATATTCATTATAATATGTTGTTTTTAAGTATGTTCATAAATTTAAAAATTTCTAATATATCAATTGATAAAAAACAACTTTTCAAAACTACTACAGGTAGAGATAATCCATCTCCCAGTACTTAGCATCACAAGTATATGAACCACAGCTGCTTACTACAATATTCCAACTCATTATGATAGTAGCTAACATAAGTGTCTAGGTATAATTTATCCAAAGGTAAATTATATTTCTTGATTTTAAAAAGAGTTTACCATCCTTTTTTCTAGTGACTATTTAAAAGTGCTTTATAAATTAGATAGTAGATATTTATGTGACATGCTTTAAACACTAGTATTTATACTTCAGTGTTGTTCAAAGTTCTTTTGTTCAAAGCACTTTCCAACATTCTGAATGTGATGGTTTATGTATAGAGAGATAATATGCATATGGTAGATTGGGGTAAATGAAAAGGTTCTGCTCAGCCTCTGTGGATTTTTCCCTAAAGCACCATCCAGCAAATTCCTATGAGAATGAATCATAGTTAAAGTGAGCACTAACTTAAGTGAAACAGAATCTGTGCTTCCTATTAGTGACTGTGAATTAACTGTTTTGCAAGAGTTACCAATATTGGTTCACGTTAAAATGTTGATTTGAGACTACAAGTATATATATATACCCATATATATAATTGTGTATATAATATATATAATATATAATAATTATTATTTATTATATTTTATAACAATATATTATTATATTTTATATATATTATAATATATACAAAATTATTCCAAAGCAAGCCTTCTCACTTTCATCATATTTACCTTGTAAAACTCCCCAAGGGTACTGACGGCCTCTGACCACCCTTTTTCCAACTTTCACTTCATCCGTACTTCCCACTACAGCAAGAGGTAAGTGTCCCTAGAAAGTAAGAACAGTTTTAATCATATTCCCTTATACAAATATGGCTTACTTTCTTACTCTTGTCTCTGTTACAGAATAATAAAGACAAAAATATCATAATAAGTTTATTCAAACAAATGATATATCCTGCCTCAAATTTTATGACTTGGCAATAAATTGATTTCTGCAACCATTTATGTCAGACCATGCACACAATTAAAAGCTATTTACTGAGTAGAGCCTAAAGCAAAGCATTCTGCTGGGGGGAATACAAAGAAAAAAGATTTTTAGTAGACATATTTTTCTCACATTCTCTTTACCTTAAAACACAAAGATAATGTCAAATAAATCATACACAGAGGGTCTCATCAAGATGGCGGTGTAAGCAGACTCTGAATTCATCTCCTCTGATGAACACAACCAGGTTACAACTATTTTTGGAAAAATTACCCCAGATAGCAAACTGAAAACAGTATAAAAAGAACCCCCACAACAAGGGACAGTCCTGACTGAGGCAGAAGAGGCAGAAATTCCTTCTGGACAGAAAAAAAGCCACCTTCACGAGCAGCAGAGTTTCACTGCTGGCCGGGGGGAGCCACCCTCAGATATGCAGCCCTCCCTGGTGGAGTGAGGCCCTGAGAGGGGGCCTGACACTGCTATAAGCATCCTTCAGACTCAGCACAATTGAGACAAGGGTCTTACTATCTGGTTTTGTGGGCTATTAACTGCAGCGGGTAATACCTTGAGAAAAGCTATCAGAGGAAAGTAAGAAAAAAAGGCTCTTAAAGGGCCCACACACAAGAATACTCTATCCAGCAAGGTTGTCATTCAGAATGGAAGGAGAGATAAAGAGCTTCCCAGAAAAGCAAAAATTAAAGGAGTTTATCACCAAGAAAGCAGTTCTACAAGAAATGCTGAAGGAACTTATTTAAGCAGGAAAGCAATGACCATAAATAGGGATAAAAAATTATCAACCCTCCCCCCTCCCCAAAATCCAGGCAATAAAATCACTGGTAAAGGTAAAAATATATTAAAGGTAACAGACCAACCATCTATGAAATAACATGAAGGTTAAAAGACAAAAGTACTAAAATTACCTATTTCAATGATATGAGGGTAATGGATAGACACACACAAGAGATTATATATGATTTCAAAAACATAAAATGTGGGAGGAGGCGAATGAAAAAGCAGAGCTTTTAGAAAGAGGTCAAGCTAAAGAGTCTATCAACTCAATATAGACTGCTGTATACACAGAACATTATACAGGAACTTCATGGTAATCACAAACCAGAAACATATAATAAGTAAGCAAATAAGTAAGATGAAAGAAATCAAAGATATTACTAAAGAAAGCCATCAAACCACAAGGGAAGAGAGCAAGAGAAAAAGACAGTAATAGAGAAGAACTACTAAAACACCCAGGAAAAAAAAGTAACAAAATGGTAATAAATACATATCTGTCAATAGCTACTTTAAATGTCAATGGACTAAATACTCCAATCAAAAGGCATAGGGTGGCCAATTGGATAAAAAACAAGACCCATGTATATGCTGCATACAAGAGACACACTTCAGACCAAAAACACTCACAAACTGAAAGTGAAAGGATGGAAAGGGATACTCTATGCAAATGACAAAGAAAGAAAATGGGGGTAGTAATACTTATATCAGATAAAATAGACTTTAAAGCAAAAACTGTAACAAGAGACAAAGAAGGGCACTACATAATGATAAAGGGAAGAATCCAACAAGAAGATATAACACTTGTAAATATCTATGCACCCAACATAGGAGTACCTAAATATATAAAGCAATTATTAACAGACATAAAAGGAGAAATAGACAGTGATACAACAATAGTAGGGGACTTTAACACTCCACTTACACCAATGGATAGATCACCCAAACAGAAGGTCAATAAGGAAACGCTGGCCTTAAACGACACCTTTGACCAGATGGACTTAGTAGATATATATAGAAGATTCCATCCAAAAACCACAGAATACACATTCTTTTCAAATGCCCATGGAACATTCTCCAGGATTGATCACATATTAGACCACAAAATAAGTCTCAATAAATTTAAGAAGGTTGAAATAATACCATGCATCTTTTCTGACCACAAGGGTATGAAACTAGGAATCAACTACAGGAAGAAAAGAAAAGCCAGAAAAACGTGTAGATTAAACAAAATGCTACTGAACAATGATTGGGTCAATGAAGAAATCAAAGGAGAAATTTAAAAATTCCTGGAAAAAAATGAAAATGAAAATGAAAATGTGACATGCCAAAATCTATGGGACACAGCAAAAGCAGTTCTAAGAGGGAAGTTCATAGCAATTCAGGCCTACCTCAACATAGAAGAGAAATCCCAAAGTCAGCAGAAGGAAGGAAATAATAAAAATCAGAGCAGAAATAAATGAAAAAGACTAAAAATTAATGAAACCAAGAGCTTATTCTTTGAAAAGATAAACAAAAAAGGAAAACCTTTAGCTAGACCCACCAAGAAAAACAGAGAGAAGACTCAAATAAATAAAATAAGAAATGAAAGAGGAGAAATTACAATGGACATCTCAGAAATACAAAAGATAACAGAATCCTATGAAAAGCTATAAGCCAACAAATTGGATAATCTAGAAGAAATGGATAAATTCTTAGAAACGTATAACCTTCCAAAACTGGACCAAGAAGAAGTAGAGAATTTGAATAGACCAACCTCCAGTAAGGAGATCGAAACAGCAATCAAAGACCTCCCAAAAAAGAAAAGTCCAGGACCAAACATCTTCCCTAGTGAATTCTACCAAACATTCAAAGAAAACGTAATACTTATCCTTCTCAAACTATTCCAAAAAGTTGAATGGGAGGGGAGGCTTCCTAACTCATTCTACGAAGCCAACACTATCCTGATACCAAAACCAGACAAGGACAACATGAAAAAAGAAAATTACAGGCCAATATCACTGAGGAACATCGATGCAAACATCCTCAACAAAATCCTAGCATATGGAATACAACACTTTATTTTTTTATTTATTTTTTAAGAAAGATTAGCCCTGAGCTAACATCTGCTGCCAATGCTCCTCTTTTTGCTGAGGAAGACTGGCCCTGAGCTAACATCCATGCCCATCTTCCTCTACTTAAACATGGGACGCTTACCACAGCATGGCTTTTGCCAAGCAGTGCCATGTCCACACCCAGGATCCGAACTGGCAGACCCTGGGCCGCCGAGAAGCAGAACATGTGAACTTAACCACTGCATCACCAGGCCGGCCCCTAAATACAATACTTTAAAAAGATCATACATCATGATCAACTGGGTTTTATTTCAGGGATGCAAGGATGGTTCAACGTCCACAAATCTATCAATGTGATAGACCACATTAACAAAATGAAGAATAAAAATCACATGATCATCTCAATAGATGCAGAGAAAGCATTTGACAGGATAAACAGCATCCTTTTATGAAAACGACTCTGAATAAAATGGGTATAGAAGGAAAATACCTCAACATAATAAAGACCATATATGACAAACTCACAGCAAATATCATTCTCAATGGAGAAAAACTGAAAGCTATCCCTCTAAGAACAGGAACCAGACAAGGATGCCCACTGTCACCACTCTTATTTAACATAGTATTGAAAGTCCTAGCCAGAGCAATCAGGCAAGAAAAAGAAATAAAAGGGATCCAAATTGGAAAGGAAGAAGTAAAACTGTCACTATTTGCAGATGACATGATTTTATATAAAGAAAACCCCAAAGAATCCACTAAAAAACTTTTAGAAATAATAAATGAATACAATCAAGTCACAAGATACAAAATCAACATACAAAAATTGGCTGCATTTCTATACACTAACAATGAAGTAGCAGAAAGAGAAGTTAAGAATACAATCCCACTCACAATTGCAACAAAAAGAATAAAATACATAGGAATATACTTAACCAAACAGGTGAAAGATCTGTACACTGAAAACTATAAAACATTGTTGAAAGAAATTGAAGAAGAGACAAAGAAATGGAAAGATATTCCATGCTCTTGGATTGGAAGAATTAACATAGTTAAAATGTTCATACTTCCTAAAGCAATCTATAGATTCAATGCAGTCCATATCAAAGTTCAAACAATATTTTTCATAGAAATAGAACAAAGAATCCTAAAATTTATATGGGACAACAAAAGACCCCGAATAGCCAAAGGAATCCTGAGGAAAAGGAACAAAGCTTGAGGTAACCCACTCTCTGATTTCAAAATATACTACAAAGCTATAGTAAGCAAAACAGCGTGGTACTGGCACAAAACCAGACACAGAGACCAATGGAACAGAATCCAGAGCCCAGAAATAAACCCACACATTTGTGGACAGCTAATATTCGACAAGGGAGCCAAGAGCATACGATGGAGAAAGGAGAGTCTCTTCAATAAATGGTGTTGGGAAAACTGGACAGCCCCATGCAAAAGAAGGAAAGTAGACCATTATCTTACATCATGCACTAAAATCAACCCAAAATGGATTAAAACTTGAATGTAAGACCTGAAATCATGAAACTTCTAGAAGAAAATATAGACAGTACACTCTTTGACATTGGTCTTAGCAGCATATTTTCAAGTATCATGTCTGACTAGACAAGAGAAAGAATAGAACAAACGAACAATGGCACATCAAACTAAAAATCTTCTGCACAGCAAAGGTAATCATAAACAAAACTAAAAGACAACCTAACAGTTGGGAGAAGATATTTGAAAACCATGTATCAGATAAGGGGTTAATATCCAAAATATACAAAGAACTCATATGTCCCAACAACAAAAAACCCAACAATCCAATTAAAAACTGGGCAAAAGATCTGAACAGAGATTTCTCCAAAGAAGATATGTGGATGGCCAACAGGTGCATGAAAAGATGTTCAACATCATTAACTATCATGGAAATGCAAATCAAAACTACAGTGAGGTATCACATCACTCCCGTCAGAATGGTTACCATTAACAAGACAGGAAAGAACAAGTGTT